TTTTATCAAACACCGCCTAAACTTGATGATACCTAAAGTCATATAAGGCTTAGCTTGGTATTTCCTAATCAAACAACTAAGCAAGGACTACATAGATCATGACCATTGTCTCGAGGTGCGCAAATCAAAAACCTTCATCTAAAGAATCTTTCATTAATGATGACAGCAACAGCTGGCACCTTCCAGAAGGCTATGCGATACCCAGAGAGTGTAACTCATAACGGCCCCACATTCTGGTAGAAGAGTTGCAAGCGCCTAAATACCATCAATGTTGATTGTGAAAAGAGAGCTTCGGTTACAAGAAAGTGGTGAGAATCACACAAGACATCTGAAGACTATAAAGTGGGATCAAACCCCTCAAATTGTATTCAAGAAATTATCTGCACAATTACCCTATATTACCTTATGTAATCTCCCATCTTTATTAATATAAAAACTTTCTAGGAGCAAGAGACTCCATTAGAGTGGATTAGCCAAGCTCCTGAACTAATGAACCACTATAAACTTTCTGATTACTGTTCCTCACACTTCATTGCTTAAACACCAAGAGCCTAAAAGCTTTGACTGGATATTCCAGTGATTCCTAAATTTCTAGATAAGTTGTCTTAGCTCCATCATGTAGAACATCACCATCAAAACTCATTAAAAGTTCCCTAAATAAGACTCAGCCGTAATTTTCACTTAGTAGTGTTATCAGAACCAGACCAGCCATCAAACCAGTAAGGGAATCGAGTCAATGATTCATTGGTTTAACTATTGGATCAACTGATCGAACTGGTCATATAATAAAAAAATAAATATATTATAAAATATAGGATAAATTGCACCATTAATCCTTAAGGTTTGTCACTCATTACATTTTGATCTTTGAGAGATATTTTTGGTATAACCAAACACCATTATTCTTTTATTTGCACAAACAATAATCATGACACAAACATAAGTCTTCTCCTTTCTTTTTCCGTTTTCCTTTTCTCTTCAATTCATTTGTCCAGACTCCAGATCCCACACCGCCACAAGTCTTCCCCTCTCAAACCAATACATATATCTCTTTCTAACCCAATACATTCATCCCTTTTCACAAACCCTTGCACACAGCCCCCAAAACTCACGCAGATGACTAACCCTAACTAATCAGATCAAACGATTGAAGGCCAAAGTTGTTCAAGGCTGGATTGAAGTTACTCTTACTCGTCGCCTGAGTAAGAGAGATCACGCTAAGTGGTCACTTCTTTAGATGTTGTTCGTCGTCGGAGTGGTCGAGTGAGGGTGAAGTGTGACTGCGAAGTGAGAAGTGGTTTACTGTAGGCAGCAGCACTCTGCGATTGATGTAGGGCAAAATGACCCAATTAGATAAAACAAAATGATATTCCAACCGCCTAGTTTGTAAAAACCGATTCACGGGTTTGGTACAAAATCAGCCAATTTAACGGTTACAAAGCGGTTCGATCCCTTCTCCGGGCTAACTAGAGAAACGGATCGGTTTAAGTCTCTAGTCATAATTGAACCGATCCAGTCCGATTATGATAATGCTACTTTTTAGAAATCGGGTTGAGCGTGGGCCAAAAAACTCAACCTGAATTAAATTCGGATAATACTCGGGTTCGAGGTTCTGGATGCACAGGTTCAACCCAAACCCTCCTCGAATTAATGAAATCGGCTATGAATTTTTTTCTCTCTCCATCTTGAATCTGTTACCTCTCTCGATCTGCTTCCTCTCTCCATTTGTTGCTTCTCTCCATTACAACACAAGGACATTGCTCATCTATGAGAAGACCTTGCCTAGATCTCATATGGATCTCGTCTCTGCCTCTTTTCAGGTATGGATCACTTCTCCATTGTAGTGCTTTAAAGATTGTTTACCTAAAACCATCTGGTAGTCTATAATTCTTTATTCCTAATTTTCCGACTTGTAGTGGTTTGTGATTTATGTGTCTTTATTTCTAAATTTTCATATCTGTATTTATTTCTAAAATATTCCATCTGTAATTCTTTATTTCTAATTTTCATGCCCAAATTCAACCTAAATTATTAACTTGAAATCAGCCTAAAATTTACTAGAATTATCAGCCCAAAATTAATCTGAATTAGTTAGCCCGAATTCAACCCGAGTTTTAAGAAATTAATTTAGACGGTACTCTTGTTGAGTAGCTTGAGTTAGAATTCGGGCTTGGGTTGGGTTAGGGTTGAAGTTTTTGTGTCTTCGACTGGACCTGAATTGACCTCCTAACCTGACCACGTAACCGAGTTACACCCCTAGGGCTACGTAGAGCTCAATCAGGATGAAGTTGCATTCTAGTCCTAAAACAAACTCAACAATGCACATCAAGCAAGCTCACTCAATGGCTACTTTTCTCGTGACAATGGTTCCTCTGTATACTTAGCTCTTTTTTTTTACACTCTCTCTCTCTCCTAGCTTTTATTTTCACTATTTTTTGGGACATTTTATGACCATAGTGGTAGAAGAAAAAGTTGCCTACAAAATGGTTGCAGAATCTCTCTTGCTCTTTACCTGGTGAAAAATGTTGGTATTCCTGTTTCAGATTGTAAAAAAAAAAAAAAAAAAAAGAAAATAGCCCTTTTATTGTTGTTCATGTCCAAAATCTTGCTTTAATTGTTGAAATTTTTTCAATCCCTGCCTTGACGATTTTAGGTGGTATATCTCATAAATAGTCCAAGTTTGAATGTAGGATGGTGTTTCTATGAAACTAACTCTCGCTCGGTTCAAACCAATTGATAACTTCATTTTTTTCTCTCTCTCAGCAATAGAGTATTCAGGCTTGCGATCGACTATGTTTGTTGTCTGATGGAGAACTTCATGCATTCTTTTTAAACAAGAATCCCACTCACATACCTCATAATTTAACAAATTAATTTTGGCCAGTGGGTCAGATTTGAATTTGTGGGACCCACAAACTATGACTGTTGTGGACATAACAACTAAAAAGAAAAAAAAATATCTAGATGGCAAAAAATAGAAGGGTAGTAAGGTGGCCATTGCCAAACAAAAAAAAATTATTATTAGGAAGAGATTAAGTTGGTACAAACACGCATCAACACTAAACCATCATATCATCTCAACATAAGACTCATATCCACCCACACACATGAAAAAAGTTGCCTGCAGGCCCTCTAACAGTGTGACCTACTAAATGGCAACTCTTATTAAAGATACAGTACTCACATGAAGCTAGGTTATCTATCATTCTTTACTTCTCCAGACTTTAGCTCTCATGGGACAGTGTAACCTGCAATGGTATGGAAATAATTATTCAAGAATCAAAAATGAATATGGTTAAAGTCATTGACTATTGCTTTATCGATTATAATAAACTAGGGACAAAGTTAGGATTTTTTTTTTCCTGACGGGGTCAAATTGTGGTGAAATCAAAAAATATTTTTCAATGGAGAACTATTGAGTGAGTTATCATTAATATCAAATTTAAATAGATTTCTTTATGCAACAGCAAAGCACGAAAAATGGAACACAAGGTAAAAAAAATGTGAAAATATCTCAAATACATATCCTACAGGGGTTTGGACCCAACACAGGTAGAGTTTGAAAAAATTATATTCTATCCTCTCCAGCTATAATCCTAATCTGAGTTTACCATCAAATAATCCTAATCTGGCCTCCATGGGTAATAAAATAGCCAATAACATCCTTATGTAGCAATACAGGAGCAGAGCATTGCATGACATCTCAAGAACAAGGGTAAGGTTACTTACTTCCACACTTCTTTCCCACCGGTCGGTTCCTGATGTTGCATCGCTTGGGGATAGTGATAGCAATAGCGGGATTGATACCGGCCTGCTTCGCCAAAGGCGACAGCAGGACAGCGCAGAGGCATCGCGGAGCAGTGTTGATCAATCCATTAACTTTGGTGCAGCAATTGGGAGGGACCTTAGCCCTAGCATTTCCCGCCGCGCTCAGGCAGGGACTTAAGCTGGCAGCCGCAGAGCGTATCGGAGTCTTCCCACACTCCCCGGCTGCACCAGCTTTGTACATAAAAACCTCGGAAACTATCAAGTATAGAACCAAAGTCGCATAGTAAAATGTCATCTTGGAAGCCATCTTTCTAAGCTTAAAATGAACTTCTATACTATATGGTCCTATGCCAAAAGTGGTGCACATATATAGAGCTGTGTACTACAATGTGAACGGAAGGAAAGTTTGAGTTTTTGCTGTAGTGGGGTAGTTGTGAAACGGAGAGTAACTATGTGGTGCGCTTTAAAGTGTTCAAAATGAAATGATTCAATTATTTTGTTGGAATTATGCCATTGGGAGTTAGGCATGAGTGCTAGGTTCGTAGGGTGACACGCATTATCTTTTGGGCTAATGGCAAGGTGCTTCACAGCAGGGGCGGCTCAACAGTGATTTTAAATAAGTTTGGGCTTTATACCCATTTTAAAAAAAGGTCTCAAATTTTAAGATATCATAAATAAGTAAAAATCGAGGGTAAGCCTTCTTAGATGAACTTATAATGACTTGAGTTCTGGAAATAAACTTATTTGAGAGTAAGTTTATGTTTAAACTTATACGTAGATACTTAAGTCCACTTATTTTTTAAATCTCAAAATTATCCCTAACAGTGTTAGTTTTGTCAAGCTATGAAAAGTTACATATGTTAGATCATTGAGATATATATGAAAACTCTTGATTGAGTAATATATGAATACCGTTTATTAAATATTAAGATACTTAACGGAAATTTTATATGAAAGTTATATATTCTGATAGTTATATATGGGAAACTTAGTGTACGAATAAATTGTTGGTATATTAAGTCAAAATCATATCCCAAATTTTTTTTAACAATAGTAATGCATAATATAGGGAGGCTGAACAATGCCAACAGAGTTCAGTAACATGAATGTTAATTTATAGTAACATTCATGTTACTATATGATTAAAATTACAATTAGGATCGTGTTATCAGTATAATTGTGTTACTATACTGACATTAATGTTATTATAGTGAATTTTAACGTACAATTATAAACCTTGAGACGTATATTATGTAACATACACTTTAATATTCATAGTAACATCAAACCTTTGTGCTCAATAACATATCTAATTTTACAAAATATAAGACAATAATTTTTTTACAATAACATCAACTTTCAAATGATTTTAGTTAAATACGATTCACAAACTGAAAATTTACAAAAATGACGAATAGTAACACATAATCGATAGTTGAATTACGACATTTAACACTAATTGTGAACATCAAAACATTAAAATTCTGAACTCCATTTTTTGGTTCACGTATGGTAACATAAACTTTTTTTACAGTAACACAACCAAAGAATACTTGATTGTCTTACGTAACAAAAATAATAATAAAATTGAAATTTATAATACTTTAATTTAGTACTAATGTATGAGTTTTCTTGAATTTTAGTTNAGCAAAAAAAATAATAAAATCGAAATTTATAATACTTTAATTTAGTACTAATGTATGAGTTTTCTTGAATTTTAGTTACAAGGATAATGCCCACTTTAACAGACTTAAATCCCTAATTGTTATTATTTTTTTACCATATTACTATTTTTTTGTGAGCATGCTACTATTTTTTTAGTGATTATGTTACTGTTTTTGTTGAGTATGTTACTATTGTTATTTTTTAAATATTAATATTTTGTCGATGGAGTCCAAAGTAAACTAAAATACTAAATTAAAATTGTATTTTATGGAATGTATTGAGTTTAAAATTTGAATATGAACAATTTTTTTATAAATGCCGGTTTCTTGCTTTTTCGGATAAGGAAACATTGTGATTTGGAATATTATAGCCGGCTTTGAAGACAATTATGAAGGAGATGTATATGGTTGGTTATTATGTCCATAAATATCGTTTATAACATTCTTACAGGGAAGGGTTACAATAGTAAAATTGACAAAAAAAGGACTTAAAACCAAATAAATTTTCTTGACGGACTTATCTTTCAATAAGTCTATATAGGAAGACCGTCCTTCAAATTTCTCCATAATTAATCTATGTAAAATATTAAATTCATAAATATTTTAAGCCCTAAAAAAAAGTCTTATAAAAACACAAGTCCAATAAAAAAAAAATTAAGACCTCACTTAAAAGAAGACCCCATAATTTATAAGTGTGTAGTAATATATAGTTCAAATAAAAAATTTAAATACATGTCCAAACAAAATATTTCAACTTAAATAAATTGAACATATTAATTTAGCCACGAAATTAAAAGGCCCTCAAATTTTATTTTATTTTATTTTTAAAAAAATAAACTATCAGTAAAATTAAAACTACTAAAAAATTTAGTCTTAACCACCCAAAAAGTCAAGTTTAAACGTACCATCATAATTTTTCAATCATTTTTTTTTTATCAAGTTCAAATATGGTAACAAAAGATTGAATAAAAAAATTAATTAATATTTTTATATTTAAAAAATTAAAAATTAAATTTATTATTAATATTAAAAATAAAAGGTCTCATTTATCGTTTCCATTTTAGATTCCAAAATATTTGGGCCGCACTTGCTTCAAATGATAAAATTATGCTTACCAAATTTATATACAAAATATCGTTATCTTTTCAAAATCATGTGCACCGAATATTTGGAGGTAGTTAGTAGATCTAACTGATTCAATCACCTACATGGGATACAAAATCTGATAAACATAGAATTTCTCTGCTTCAATTCTGGCTCATTCCCCTCTTTCCATGCTTTTGTATTACTTTTTTCGCGTGAGGCATTGCTTGGTTGGTGGGATTTGTGACTTTTTGCGAGATGAAGCGTACGTTTAAGCTTTAATTATGAAACTTTTCAAACTTCAGTGTGGTTAAAGCTTGGAGGTTCCCAGGGAAATTACAATGCTTCATTGTAGTCCCCTCGGGTACATATCCAATAAATTTTGGCCCAATCCGATGATTCATTATATTTTGTTAATTATTTTGCTTTTTGTGGTCATCGTGCTCATCAATGGGAAGTGTTAGCAGGGTTATTTACTTCGTCACCCCTCAAACTATTCTACTAGATTTGTTTTGTCCCACTAGTATGACCTGTCCCACTTTTACGATAATTGGTTTCACATTGTACTAAATCCAAGTTACTGTTATATTTAAGACAAAAATATTGATTATGCAAAGTGCCCCTCAATTATCCTAAATTATGAGTAATTCGTGTCTTAAGACACGATGCAATATAAACCAACCGGTTAATTTAGNTTTTTTTTATCAAGTTCAAATATGGTAACAAAAGATTGAATAAAAAAATTAATTAATATTTTTATATTTAAAAAATTAAAAATTAAATTTATTATTAATATTAAAAATAAAAGGTCTCATTTATCGTTTCCATTTTAGATTCCAAAATATTTGGGCCGCACTTGCTTCAAATGATAAAATTATGCTTACCAAATTTATATACAAAATATCGTTATCTTTTCAAAATCATGTGCACCGAATATTTGGAGGTAGTTAGTAGATCTAACTGATTCAATCACCTACATGGGATACAAAATCTGATAAACATAGAATTTCTCTGCTTCAATTCTGGCTCATTCCCCTCTTTCCATGCTTTTGTATTACTTTTTTCGCGTGAGGCATTGCTTGGTTGGTGGGATTTGTGACTTTTTGCGAGATGAAGCGTACGTTTAAGCTTTAATTATGAAACTTTTCAAACTTCAGTGTGGTTAAAGCTTGGAGGTTCCCAGGGAAATTACAATGCTTCATTGTAGTCCCCTCGGGTACATATCCAATAAATTTTGGCCCAATCCGATGATTCATTATATTTTGTTAATTATTTTGCTTTTTGTGGTCATCGTGCTCATCAATGGGAAGTGTTAGCAGGGTTATTTACTTCGTCACCCCTCAAACTATTCTACTAGATTTGTTTTGTCCCACTAGTATGACCTGTCCCACTTTTACGATAATTGGTTTCACATTGTACTAAATCCAAGTTACTGTTATATTTAAGACAAAAATATTGATTATGCAAAGTGCCCCTCAATTATCCTAAATTATGAGTAATTCGTGTCTGAAGACACGATACAATATAAACCAACCGGTTAATTTAGAAAAAAAAATTATTTTAATTTATTTTAATTAAAGAAATTGAAATCAATATAGTCCCCAAATATTTTTTGGGGACTATTTTGGAAGAGCATGATTTGAAAATGGGAGTCCAATAAAATCTCAACCTGTCTACAAAACTCAGAGTCTCTTGAATTCACAATGCAATTAAACCTAAAATTCACAATTCACAATCAAAATTGTTCCAAAAGTTACCATTATGAATCCAATTACCAAAAAACCATCAATTCCAATCAAAATAAACTAATCAGTGANGGTAGTTAGTAGATCTAACTGATTCAATCACCTACATGGGATACAAAATCTGATAAACATAGAATTTCTCTGCTTCAATTCTGGCTCATTCCCCTCTTTCCATGCTTTTGTATTACTTTTTTCGCGTGAGGCATTGCTTGGTTGGTGGGATTTGTGACTTTTTGCGAGATGAAGCGTACGTTTAAGCTTTAATTATGAAACTTTTCAAACTTCAGTGTGGTTAAAGCTTGGAGGTTCCCAGGGAAATTACAATGCTTCATTGTAGTCCCCTCGGGTACATATCCAATAAATTTTGGCCCAATCCGATGATTCATTATATTTTGTTAATTATTTTGCTTTTTGTGGTCATCGTGCTCATCAATGGGAAGTGTTAGCAGGGTTATTTACTTCGTCACCCCTCAAACTATTCTACTAGATTTGTTTTGTCCCACTAGTATGACCTGTCCCACTTTTACGATAATTGGTTTCACATTGTACTAAATCCAAGTTACTGTTATATTTAAGACAAAAATATTGATTATGCAAAGTGCCCCTCAATTATCCTAAATTATGAGTAATTCGTGTCTGAAGACACGATACAATATAAACCAACCGGTTAATTTAGAAAAAAAAATTATTTTAATTTATTTTAATTAAAGAAATTGAAATCNAATCTGTGAAGTGAATGTGTTGCCTCAATATCCAACTATGTGATGCATATGTGTGTGTGTGAGAGAGAGAGAGGGTTTTTGCATGTGTGCTTACGTGTGTGAGTTGCTGGTGTAGGGGGTTTGTGTATATGTGTGAGTGTTTGCAAGTGTG